TATGCTATGCAAAAGCTCTGCCACTGAACTCTACCCACAGCCTTAGAGAATTCTTACGAGAAACCTAAATTTTTGTTGCGGGGCGCAGTGTTGCACATCTGTAATCCCAGCATCTTGGGAGGCTGAGACAGGAGGATCGCGAGTTCAAAGCTAGCCTCAGCAAAAAGCAAGGTGTTAAGCAACTAAGTGAAACCCTGTCTCTAAATAAAATACCAAAAATAGGACTGGGGATGTGACTCAGTGGTTGAGTGCCTCTGAGTTCAATCCCTGGTACAAAAAAAAGAAAGAAAGAAACTTAAATTTTCATGTTTTTCTTGCTACCAACGTGCTAATTCTAATGTTTGCTTCATAATTTAGATTATAAGAAGACCAGTCTGGCACCGTATGTGAAAGTATTTGAACAGTTTCTTGAAAACCTGGATAAATCACGAAAAGGAGAACTTCTCAAGAAGAGTGGTAAGACAATGGTTTTCCCTTTTATTTAATCTTATATTTTATGAGTAGTGTAAAGCATCCAGCAAATGATCAATATTTGAGGTCTCATCTTTGCCTCTCCTCAAATTTTAATTTTTTTGTTTTTTTGTTACTGGAGATCAAATGCAGGGCACCCTGCCACTAAGCTACATCCCCAGTCCTTTGAGACAGGGTCTCACTAAATTGCTAAGTGTGGTCTCAAACTTGAAATCCTCTTGCCTCAGCCTCCCATGTCACTGGGATTGCAGGTATATGCCTCCACACCCTGCAGAAATTTACTAATAAATTTTATGTATCTTTATTTTTTAAAAAATTGAGGTTCTTTAATTTGGTTATATATATATATATATATATATAATTTTTTTTTTTTTTTAGAGAGAGAGTTTTTTAATATTTATTTTTTAGTTTTCGGCGGACACAACATCTTTGTATGTGGTGCTGAGGATCGAACCCAGGCATGCCAGGCGAGCGCTCTACCGCTTGAGCCACATCCCCAACCCCAACATATATTTATTAAACAATTTTTTCTAGTACTGGGGATTAAACCCAGAGGTGCTTTACCTGAGCCACCTCCCCATCCCTTTTTATTTTTTATTTTGAGACATGGTCGAAGTTGCTGAGGTTGGCTTTGAACTCGATGATCCTCCTACCTCAGGCTCCTAAATCACAGGAATTGTAGACATGTACCACCCACCTGGACAGTGTCATTTTTTGAGCTACATAACCAGCCCGTTTTATTTTGAGACAGGGTCTCACTAAAATTGCTTAGGGCCTCACTAAGTTGCTAGGGCTGGCCTCAAACTCATGATCTTCCTGCCTAAACCTCTGAGTCTCTGGGATTATGGGCATGCACTACTGCACCGAGTTTTATTAAACATTTTCTATGTATCAGTACTTTGATGAACACAAAAATAAATTATACAAGATTAATGCCATGTCATGTTTTTGTGCCTGTAAGTAGTACTGTCTTGTTACAAAAGAAAGCAATGCAAGATGCTAAGAGAAATCGATCTGAATCAGTCTGACAATTCAGATGAAAAGGATGGCATTTGAACTCCTTTCAATGAGCTTTTATAAGAATTCTAATTCTTGGAATGAGGGTGTAGATCAGTGGTAGAGCACTTGCTTAGCATCTATGAATCCCTGGGTTCAATTTCCAGTACCACAAAAATAAATAAATATTCTGATCCTCAATGCCAATATACCATTTCTTGAAGTATGAATAGGAATTTCACAAGCAGAGATTTGATGATAAAGGCACATCATTAGAAAAAGGCAAAGGAGTTTTTTCGTTTGTTTGTTTTGGGTTTTGGTTTGTTTGGGATGCTGGGAATCAAACTCAGGACCTTGTAAGTGCTAGGCAAAAACGCTAGGAAAAAGGTAAAAGATTTTATACAATCTAAAGAGAAATCAGAGTATAGGCAGGCACTCTTAACACTGAGCTACACTCCTCAGCCCAGAGTTTTGGTTTTTTTTCCCTTTCTTTTTAATGTACTGGGGATTGAACCAGAGGGTGCTTTGCCAAGTACCTATAGCTATGTGCCCAACCCCTTTTGTTTGATTTTGAGACAGGCTGGTCTCAAATTTGTAACTCCTACCTCAGCTTTCTGAATAGCTGGATTTACAGACATGTACCACTATGCCTGGCCCAGGGTTGTTCATTCTTGAAGTAGTAGCAAAAGCACAGGCAGAGGTAGCAAAGCATAGCACAGCTAATCTGGCAGGGAAAAAAAAAAAAGTGTTAGGAAAGAGATATAAATCTGAAGACAGGCTCAAGCCAAAGCATAAACAGCCTTGAATTTCAGACTTAGGAATTTGGGCTTACAAATAGAAACAGGAAAGTTATCAAAGGCTTCTGAGGAAGGGAATTCCATGATTTGTAGTTCTAGCTACAAGAGTAAAACTGGGCAGATGATCAGGAATAAAATAGAGTCTAAGGAGACCAAGTAGGCTATTGGCATTTATGAAAGTTCTCAAAAAAGTACAAAAACTTTAACCATCCTTGAGACTTGGAAGTAGAAAGATGGAAGTATCACAGAAGTCAGGGGGAAAATTTCAAGGAAATTATCAAGTTATCTAATGATTAAGGTACTGATAAGATTCTGTTGGACATAGTAACTAGAAGAAGGTACAAAGAGGATAGTAGTATTAAATGAGGAGTTCTTTGAACAGGAGAGACCTCACAGTGTGTAAGCCAAAAGCAGAGTGACCATTCAGGAAACTCCTCCATTTCAGTTTTTTTTTGGCAGGGGGAGAGTGTGCAGGTACTGAGGGCTAGGCTAATGCTCTACCACTAAGCCACACCGTTAGTCTCCACATCAGTTTTTAATAAAATGTGTATTGGTTTAATTAAGTAGTGCCTAAGATAATGTTTTACTCATAGTAGATATTCAAATATGTGCTTGTTGAATGAACAGTGATGACCGTACTTGAAAAAGCCTTGTTGAAGGTGCCATTCCATCTGGCCTTCTACTAAACCCTTTAGATTCTCATTCCATACTGGTTCAGCTTGTAATGTGGACTTCAGCAAATGTGAAAACAAATCTTTATCCATGATGTGAATTTAATGGAAGCATGAAGAAAATCAGAATGTGAAAATAAATGGGTTTTATTTTCCTTTATGTCCTCTGATAAAAATCTATTCTATTTTAGATTTACAAAAAGCTTTCTGAAGATAACATCTCCCCTCAAACAAATGTGGATATCGTCTACCTGCAAGCAAGGATCAAAAACTTGAAGAGTCATTTAATAAATATGGCAGAACCATGTATATGTCTTAATGCTTACAGCAGAATTTCCTTTTCTTGAGAAATAATTTATGTTGAAAAGATTCCCTGAGGCCACTAAAAAGACTCCTGTTAAAGTTTGTGAAAGGAACTTAAAGCAATTAATAAGTGAAATGCAGATAATTTTTGTAAAATTTAATATTATAGAAAGGGGCTGGGGATGTGGCTCAAGCGGTAGCGCGCTCGCCTGGCATGCGTGCGGCCCGGGTTCAATCCTTAGCACCACATACAAACAAAGATGTTGTGAACGCCGAAAACTGAAAAATAAATATTGAAATTCTCTCTCTCTCTCTCTCTCTCTCTTTAAAAAAAAAAAAAAAATATATATATATATATATATATATATATATATATATATATGTATATATTATAGAAAGATAATTCCAAAGCTTCTGACACAAATAGTTCTATCAGTTGGCATATAGAGAGGTAAGTGAACAGTAATATACTTCCATTTCATCTCACTGGATATTGCCTCTATATTATGGGGTAAATGACAGCTTTGTCCTTAAGTCTTGGACACTTGTTAATATACCTAGAGTATATATTCAATCACTTCCTAATTTTGTTTATTTATATTGATATTGATATTGCCTGTCTTTTTAAAAATTATTTTAAACTGGGCATTTAAACCTACCAAAACTTCAGTTCCAAAGATAGGAGTTATTAGATGAAAMTATTAGGGCCAAGTATAGTATTTTGTACAACTATTGGGAATTGTAGCTCCTACTTTTTCCCTCAGAGAGCAACTGAATTAGTCTACCATAAAGAACAAGTTTAGGGCTGGGGTTGTGGCTCAGCGTTAGAAAGCTCGCCTAGCACGAATGAGGCCCTGGGTTCCATCTTCAGCACCACATAAAAATAAATAAAGGTATTGTATCCARCTACAACTAAAACATAAATATTTTTTTTAAAAAAGTTTAGTGGGCTTTTATTGTGGCTTAGTGGGTAAGCGCTCCTGGGTTCAATCCTTAGTACCAAATAAATAAATAAAACCTGTTGTAATTGTTAAAGCACTTGGGCTTTTTAACATATCTAGGTAATTAAATTTTAAGTTTTGTTTCAGGTATTATGTGATGGCTTCTAAAGTATCAGATTTCTCTTGGTTTTACAAGGAATCCTACACAGTAGGATTCTGTCTTCTGAGAAATATTGAGAAGCAAACTGTCAAGCTAGTGCTTCTATGATGTCATGAAAATTTCCTTACATTTCATTTAACATTGTTTCCTGTATAGTCATACAATCTTTTTTTTCTTTTGATTTATATAAAATAGACTATAGTGGAATCAACCAAAATGCTTTGTATTTCTTCCTCTCTTTTTAAGATATTTAATATTTACTTTTTTAAATATTAAAAAGAATATTGTGCAAAATTCCTCATTATTTGAGCTTCTGTGCATTATGGATCATTCAGTCTTCAAATTCTAAAAGTAGCCAGTCAAAATTCTGGAGCACAGTTACAGTGCACATATCCAAAATCCCAGCTAATGGGGAGAATAAGGCATGAGAATGACAAATTCAAGACCAGCCTCAACAACTTCAGGAGACCCTGTCACAAAATAAAAAGGAGCTGGGTACATGGCTCAGTGGTAAAGTGCCTAGGGGTTTAATCCCCAGTACCAGAAAAGAAAAAAGTAGAAAGACAGTATTGTGTTTTCAATCAGAGACATGTTAAGCTTCCATTATGGTTTTGTAAATGTCTTCAGTAAAGTATTTTAATGCTTTAATATTAAAGCCCTGAGATAAAGCTGACATACTAGCCCATTAAAATTATTAACTACAGGGCTGGGGATGGGCTCAAGCGGTAGCTCGCTCACCTGGCATGCGTGCGGCCYGGGTTCGATCCTCTGCACCACATACAAAGATGTTGTGTCTGCCTAAAACTAAAAAATAAATATTAAAAAAAAATTATCTAAAAAAAWTATTAACTACAAAACACTGTTCTCATTAAAAAGAATAAATGTTACTAAAGAACAAATTTTAAAAATAGTAAATGTTTGGTTCATGAAGAGAACAGAAACATGATCAAAGTCTACTGACTTCATTTCTCCCTGATTTGCCAATCCACTGATAGAAATGTAGAAACCAAAGGCACAGAAACAGCATCTAAAATCTTTAAAACTTTCCAATTTATAAAGAAACCAAAGAAAAAGTACATCCTTCCTTAGCTATTCCTTAGGACAGTTTTTTATTAAGTCCATGGGCTTGCTAAGGAAAACAGGGCAATGGTCAATATATAGTTTGGGGTTTTGTTTTTTTTTTTTTTGGTACCAGGGATTGAATTTGGGGACTCCACCACTGAGCCACACCCTCAGCCCTACTTTTTTTTAATTTAGAAACAAGGTCTCACTGAGTTGCTTAGCACTTCACCATTGCTGAGGCTGGCTTTGAACTCGTGATCCTCCTGTCTCAGCCTCCCAAAGCGTGCACCACCACAACCAGCTAAAGGCATTTTCATGGAGAGAGGGGRAAAAAAAATAGCAGTTTATTCCCATCTACTCACATACTAGATGCTATTTTTTTGTCTTCAATATGTAGTTTTGTCTAAGATAATTGGCCAGTTTTTCACTTTTTTTCTGAAGGTAAATGGACTACACTGAAAATCTGAGTCTGTTCTTAATCAGTCCACAATAGCCTCTCCTGAGAATTTCCAAATTGTTCCTGGTCAATTCTGCTATCTGGGTTAATCCTGGTCCACTAATCCTAATCCTCACTTYACTGTAGTAGAGGTTTAGGGTGGGCTACTAGACCCAGGGACRCTTTACCACTGAGCTACGGCCCCAGCCCTTTTTATTATTTTTTTATTTCCTTTATTTTTTTGTTTTAATTTTTTTTCCTTTTTATTTTTTGAGACAGGGTTTCACTAAATTGCAGAGTCTAGCCTGGAATTTGCCATCTTCCTGGTTTAGGTTTGCCAAACACTGGGATTACACCATTGAAAAGTAGAAATGATTTAGGTTAAATCCCAATTATTTTCAGGACGATGTTGAAATTAAGTTCCTGGGGGTGGGGAGATTATAGGTATATACACGACTTTTGTTTTCCCCCTTGGTTTTTGTGCCACTGTGTCCAGTAATCTCAGATTGAACCTAGGGGCGCTCTACCACCGAACCACATTCTAATCCTATTTTGAGACAGGGTCTCTCAAATTGCCCATGCTGGCCTCCAGTTTTTTCTGATTGCCCTGCCTCGCTGGGATTACATGTGTGCACAACTCGGCTCAGAAGGAAAAGTGGTCGCCCGCTCCCTCTTCCCCCATTTTAAATTCTCACTGCTTCTCTTAAAAGTCAGCCATAATCGTCTTCAAGCCATTATACCAAATAGTGTTAGCTGATTTGGATAATTCAGGTTTGTGTTTGGTTTGTCCTTTTTTAGAGTTTGGGAAATAGTAAGGAGTTAAGTAACCTTTTCATTAATAAAACATTGGTTTTACATTCTACTTCTCAAGAACCCTGTACAGAGCACGGATTCTTAACATGGGATCCCGGGCCCTTAGAATGGACGAGTTTCAGAATTATTTAAGAAGTGCCCAAAATAAGCAAAAAGAATTGTGTATATGCCTAYAATCCCCGCTGCGCCGGGGCGAGGAATCGGACGTCAACATCGTCCCAAATCGTCTATTTCAAAAATAAAATAATTGAGATTTAACTTATGTCATTTCTACTTTACAATGGTGACAATACAATCTCTGGAGTTCGCTATTAATTAATGTCGYGTTTCCCTGCTTCTGAGTAGGGGAAATCTTAAAACAGCTGTTGCTACTTTGCGGACCCGTAGGCGGAGCTTCTSTATGGTTTCCCTTCGGGAAGCAAACATGCTTGCTGGAAAGGAAGGGGCGGGATGTTTGAGGCCTGCCTCGCTCCACGAGGACTGCTCCAGCCAGGCCAGTGTGTCGGGTTCTAAATTCTTACCCTTATTTAGAACTCATCACCACCCCGCCCTAGAAACAGCCCTCAGGGTCATTGGATAAAGGAAGTGGCTTCCAACAGCTCCTGACCCGGAATCGGATCGTGGCCCCGCCCCCTCCGCGCCAGGCTTCCTTCTGCAACAGGCGTGGGTCACGCTCTTGCTCGCTCTCTTTCTGCCGCCATCTTGGTCTCGCGTTCTCCGCACAGTAAGTGCTGTCTGCGCCGCTACTCCATCCGCCGCCATCCTCCTTTCTCGCGGGTTGAACCGCCCGGGGGATTCAGAGTTGAGGAGAGTTGACGTCTTTGTACAGTTACAGGGTTCCTACTAGTCGCTGGGTCTCCGGAGAAAAGGGGGTCTGTAGTTGGTGTCCTGGCAAAAAAGGGGCATAAGGGTCCTACGGGCCAGGCCCAGAACCCGGGTATGGAGGGGATATAAGAGTCACTGTAGTCTTGGAGGCAAAAGCTGAGTGCGTCTGTTGGGAACGGCTTCGCAGAAATCCAGAGGAGGTTAAGGGGTCACAGCCTCAGAACCCTAAACACCGTTCTTATTGTGAGAAGGGGAGTGTTGGGACCCAAGGCGTCCTCTTTCGTCTCCCGGCTCTCAGAAGACCTGGGGGGCCCGAGTCCAGGTAGCGTAAATGTTAAAAGGGGAGGGGGCTCAAAGTACGTCAGAGGTTTTAAACGGTTGGGAGTCAGACTGGATCATCTCGGGTTGAGAATGCAAAGGTGATTTCTGGTCTTGTGGGATCAAGAGTGTGGAATACAACGAACCCTGAGCACTGGGAAGTCTACTTTCTTCGGAGCGTACTCAGGTGATTCGTTTTATAGATATCTGAGGGTCACTTTTCCCACCTATTCTTAGTAACTTTGGGAAGGGTAGTCCTCAGACATTTTCATGATTTTTTTCCCCCATTTAACAATCCTCCGTTGAGTTATTAATAGTTGATTCTGAGTTGGGCAAGTGCACCCCTGTCAATTCAGGCCTCCTTTTTATTCCCTTCCTTCAGAAATGCCGGGTGAAGCCACAGAAACCGTCCCTGCTACAGAGCAGGAGTTGCCACAGCCCCAAGCTGAGACAGGTAGGTTCCTATAGTTTCGTTGCTGGTAATTAAGATAGACTCTTAACACCATTTGGTGAGTAAAGTGACAAAAGAAGAGTATATCTCTACCTAATTTGCTATGATGGTTTTGTAGCTTTACCAGAAAGGAAAACTTGTTATTTTGGAGGGACTTATTTAGGGAGCAGGAATAAAAATTGTATCAAGATTTGTGAATGTTCACTAACTGCTTTGTGAATTGCAACTGCCACCTCCTGGGAAGATTGAGTGGGGAGGGGGATCAGTGATTCTTACTATTAGAACTGGATGACACACAGGCAGCCCAAGGAGACCTGAGCTTTTGTGAAGTCCCAGCCAGCAAGTTGCATCAAGGTTTTAGATAGCAGAGCTTGGCATTGTGCCTTTATCACATGTCTGATGAGGTATGTGCTGGTGGTAAATGTGTCCTACCGAGCCCCAGAGTCCTGGGTTGGTTTAACTTGTTTTATGGGTTGATGCTGAGATATTTGTTGAATGCYCAAATAGTGCTTGGGCCATTTTCTGGAACCCAACATTGAAATAAATGCTYCCTTTGATCTTCATCATTGAAATTAATGGGTGTAAAATCTAGTGTGAAGGCAAGTTTTTAATTCTGGTTGAAACACGTCTCTAGAAAACTGGGGCAATGGAAAGATGTAAAATGATAGTGTTGCTGGGTCAGTTGTGCAAACTAAATGAAGGGGATCTTAAGGTTATAATCTCTATCCTATGTTTTWTGTAAATTTCAAGGGCGATTTCTTTCACCTTTTTTGGAGTTAAAGTTGTTTACAGTTGAAAACATTGTGGTTCTTTCTCCCCACCTGTCTGATTTTAGCAGCTGAAGGGATTAATACAGCTGCTAGAGAAGAATAAGGAGGGGGGCCCTCAGTAGGGAATGAGCAATAGGAAATGCTTTAGCTACAAGAAATTTATGAAATGGGATGATGAAAGACTGGTCTTTAAAGATTCTGTGGTTTCAGTGCTAAACAAGACTTTTAGACATTATCTCAGTCTCATTGTACCACTTAATTTTTCAAATATGGAGACTGAAATTTGGATAAAATTAGAATAATCTAATTCCAAACTACAGAACTTGATTTCTGAAATAATCCTTAGTGCTGCTAAACATTCTGATTAGTCTGAGTACAGAAAGTGTATAATATTGAGTACCTGTGATAAATTACCAGAATTTCATCTATTAGAATAAATGAAAAAGCTAACGCAGGAAATTGGTTATGATAGCAAAGCAAGTTATTTGGGTCTTATCCCATCTTGAGATCCAGTAAGAAGAAAACATATTCCATGTTTTAAATTCTTGTTAACGTGTTTGAAAGTGTATGTACTGTAATCATAAGACTTTGATTGCCAATTCTCCTGAGCCACTTGACTTTATGTAGTCAGATACTATAAGAACTAAGAAGATTRTTTGGTTGAGTTGTGAATTTGGATGCTATGGACTGCCCTCCCCCTCTTTGGGGCAGGTACTAGAGATTGAATTCCTGAGCATTCAACCACTGAGCCATGTCCCCTGCCCTGTTTTGTATTTATTTAGAGACAGAGTCTCACTGAGTTGCTTAGCGCCTCTCCATTGCTGAGGCTGGCTTTGAACTCATGATGCTGCTGTCTCAGCCTCCTAAACCATGGGATTACAGGTATGYGCCACCGCGCCCAATCTCTCCCTGCCCCCTTTAACAATCCCTTTTGGGCATTGAGCATTTATTGATCTAATTTGAGGGTAATTTGATGTTATTTTCTAAATTACATATATGGTATTTTTTTTCCCTCTACGAAACCTCTCACTTAGTTTTACCATAGTGTCAAATATTGGTGTATTTTGACAAAATAGACAGAATAAAAATACTTACTCAGATCAAGAGTTAGGGTCTGTTATATTATTTTCACTCTACAGCTGTCCTTCCAAAATAGAACCACAGTCTGGTTTAACAAGTTGGGTTAGAATTTCATAATACAGTCCCTACCCTAGTGACTAAGCTGTCTCCCTGAAGGTCTAGTTCATCTTGAAATGATGTCTAAAGAGCCTAACATTACTGAGGAAGGGTAGAATAGGAAGTGCAACCTATTTGTGGCTGGGTGTCTTTGTTTGCTTTCTTTCTGGTTTTGCTAAGTAAACTTAAGACATAAGGGGGTAAGGGGCTGAAGAGTTTCAACTTCAATAGAACTGAATTATGCGAAGCTCCCTCTTCCTAAGAAAACAGTGATATTTTTCATGGCCTAGTGGAAACTTTAAAGGGTTTTTTTGTTGTTTGTTTTTAAGACTTTTTCTCATTCAGCTGATTCCCCATCATTAAACTGTCTGCCTATTGTCATCCTTATTCCAGTTTTCAGTGTTTCAGTTCAGATCCTTGAGTTCTAGTGATAATTCTGWTGGCTTAAAGACTTGGGAATGAGGTCCCATTTCAGGAGAAAAGGGAAAGGCACAACTGGGAAAGGATGGAAAGTGTATTGTTCCCAATCCATTCCTGAGCATCTGTTCTTTGTGTTTGACTTTTAACTATTTTCCCCATCCTGAAATTTTGGGTTTATTTTGGTAGAACTTAGAATGTGTTCTCACTTTACCACTGAAATGTTTGGGGAACTTTGGGTGTTGCTTGTCACTGTTGTCTAATCCTGTGTGGTGACTTTCATTCTCAGATTTAAAATTCCATTGTTTCCTATGAGGCATGTTGTACCAAATTGGGCTGCATAACTCACTTTTTTTTTTCTTTTCCTCCTTTATCTCTCTTTTTTTTTTTTTTTTTTTTTTGCTTTTCTCCTCCAGCTGTGCTTCCTATGCCTTCAGCCTTGAATGTCACTGCTGCCTTAGGGCAGTCTAGACCTACCCTTACCCCTCCTTCCTCCCTGGCCCCCCAACAGTGCCCTCTAGCAGTTGCTAACCAGCCTTCCCCATTTCCTTCTCCTTCTAGTATTGCTTCAGCCCCTTTTGAAGCTCCTTTTCCCCAGCYATCCTCTGGAACTGCCATGCCTTTGGAAACTCTCCCTAACACCCCAACTTTCCTACCGCACCTAATCGGGCCTCCCATCTCCCCAGCTGCCTTAGCTCTGGCCTCTCCCATGATAGGGCCAACTCTGAAAGGTGCCCATTCCTCTTCAGCTCCCTTGGCCCTTGTTGCATTGGCTCCCCACTCAGTTCAGAAGAGTTCTACTTTTCCACCTAACCCTGTTGCCTCACCTCCATCAGTTGCTATGGCTGAGTCAGGGTCAGTGACATCTCTACCAGCTCCCATTACTCCCTCAGAACCAAAACCCTCTCCTATTCAGGTTCCCTCTCAGGTACTCCCTAATCCAAAAGCTACTACTCCAAGTTCAGGTCCTCCAGGTATAATCAGTGCTGTTCCTTCCCATGTTGGAAATCCCTTGGCCTCTGTTCAATCTGAAGTAACCTCCTGTGCTCTGACACCATGCATTACTCCCCCAGCCATTACTTCTCAGATTAACAGTATCCCCATTTCCTCAACTCTGATCCCACAAAACCCATTAAGCTTCAGCCTAAAGGGGCCTGTTAGTTCACCTTCTACCTTATCTTTTTCAACCCAGTCTACTCCTGCAGTGACCTCTTCTCAAACTGTGGCTCCTAGCATCCCACCAGTTTTCCCTAGTTCTCTGGGCTCTCATCTTACATCTTTACATCAGGGTTCTTCTATCCAACCTTTAGGTCAAGCAGCTCCTAGTACACTGTCAAATCCTGCAGTGAATACCATTTCTGTAGATCATTCTTCCTTGGGGACCTCTTATCCATCTCAGAGATCTGTGATTTCTCCCCTTCCTTCGGGAAATGAGCTGGTTACTGGTACTGTGGCTGCTCTTCCAATAAGGTCTCCAGGTTCTTCTCTGACTCTGTCTATTGACAAAGGCCCCTCTACAGTGACTGGCATAACCTCCTACCCTTCTGGCTCCCCAATTGTAACTACCACTACTTCATTATCTCCTACATCCTTGCTCCATCTTACTAATGCCACTCATCAGCCTCTGGGGACTCAAATTCTTGCTTCTCCAGGAACAGACTTTAAGGAAACTTCTGTCTCTTCTGTTGAAACCACCCCACTTCTGATGACTAACCCCTCTACGATTTCTGCAGCACCTACTACCTTTGAGGTACCTACTTCTGTGCCTCCTCCAATTTCATCAGGTCCCATAAGTAGTAAAGAACCAACTTCCCTTACTGCCTTGGTTATGTCACCTGTGGCTCAAAAAGAGCTTCCTACTTCTCAGATAGTAACTACTGTGAGCATACCAGTCTGTCCTTTGCCAGCTCCTATATCTCCCACCCAGACAGGACTCCCTACCAAGGAAGGCCCCACTTCATTACCTTTGGCCCTCTCATCTCCCCAGAATTCCTCCCAAAGTACATCATCTTTGGAGATAAGTTCTCCTGAAACCACTATAGCAAAGAAAAGCTGTGTAGAGCCTCTCCCTGTAGCTAAGGCAGCCAGTGCTATGGCCTCTTCTCTGGATGTTAACTCCTCAACCTCTGTAGTCAAGACAGATCCTTATACAAGCCCAGACCCTGTTAGTCTGCTTCTCAAAAGTTCTATCACTGCTCCAGCAGTGGCTACGTTTCCTTTGGGAAGTGCTGACCATATGGGGGTGGCTTCTACAACTGCCAAAGATACCTGTACTCTTACTGCTTTACCTTTGGTTCCTCCAGCCTCTGAAAGTTGCCCTGTGGCTCCAGCTATGACTTTATCCCCTCAGAATGTTTCTGTTTCTGCAGTAGCATTGACGCTGACTCCTGAAATTCCTGAGTCTGTACCCTTTCCCCCTCTTCCCCCAGCTGGGATTGCTCTGTCCAGTGCAGATATAGTTGATGGTATTTCTCAGACCTCATCATTGGCACCTTTAGTTTCCTCTCCTGTGTGCCCAAATGAGGACCCCACTGATTCTACATCTTCCAAAGGAAGCATGACTTCTATAACTGACTCCGCATCTCCTTTAGGGACTGGTATGTCTCCTCAGACTAAAAGACCTCTAATCAAGAAGGGTTCTCCTATCCCTGATGTTCCTGCTGGAAATCTCTCATCTTCTGTTTCTCCAGTTGAAGCTTCCTTCCTTCCAGAGGCCAATATTTCCATTCAAGGCCCTAAAGGTTCACTAACCAAGAAGCATTCTCCCACTCCCAAAGGGGCCCCTACTCCTACAACTGTGCCTCTTCCCTCCCCCAAAAAGGCCCCAGCAGACCCATCCCCCAAAAGGACTCCTACTCCCCCAGCAGAGACTTCTCCCTCTCCCAAAAAGCCGCAAGCAACGCTGGCCCCGAAAGGAGTTCCCAATCCCCCAGTTGTCACTCCTTCCTCAGTCCAAAAGACCCCAGCAAGCCCATCTCCCAAAGGGACCCCCACTGACCCAACTGTGGCTCCTACCTCCTCCAAAAAGGCCCCAGCAGCTACAAACCCCAAGGGAACCCCCAACCCCCTAGCTGAGATTCCTCCTTCCCCAAAAAAGTCTCCAATAGCTACAGCCCCCAAAGAAGCCACCACAGCAAGCCCATCCCTCAAAGAAACTTCCAGTACCTCAGCTGAGATTCCTACCTCCCCCCAAAAGGATCCAGTAACCATAGCCCCCAGTGGGGTCCCCACTGCCCCAGCTAAGACTCCTCCCTCCCCAAAAAAGGTAGCAGCAACTGTCCCAGCTGTTACTCCTTCCCCAAAAAGTACACCAGCTCCATCTTCCAAAGGGTCCCCTGCCCTGCCAGATGATGCTCCTCCTTCTCCCATTGAGGCTCCCACTGCCCCAGCTGTGGCTCCTCACCACAAAAAAAAAAAGACCCCATCCCCCAAAGGAGTCTCCACTCCCCCACCTGTAACTCCTCTCTCCCCAAAAACACCAACAATTTCATCCCCCAAAGGGACCCCAGAAGAGACTCTTTCCTCCACCCAAAAGACCCCAACAATTCCATCCCCTAAAGAGGCAACAGTAACCCCATCCCCCAAAAAGGTCCCCACTCCCCCAGCTGTGACTCTTCCCTCTCCCAAAAAGGCCTCAGCAAATACAGCCCCTAAAGAGGCCACAGTAACCCCGTCCCCCAAAGGGGTCCCCACTTCCCCAGCTGTGACTCCTCCCTCTCCCAAAAAGGCCCCCACAAGTACAACCCCTAAAGAGGTCACAGTAACCCCATCCCCCAAAGGGGTCCCCACTCCTCCAGCTGGGACTCCTCCCTCTCCAAAAAAGGCACCAGCAAATACAGCTCCCACTGAGGTCCCCAGTCCCACAGCTGTGACTTCCACCTCTCCCAAAAAGGCACCAGCAGTTCCATCCCCCAAAGGGGCCCCCACTTCCCCAGCTGTGATTCCTACCTCTCCCAAAAAAGCCCTAACAAGTACAGCCCCAAAAGAGGTTCCCAGCCCTCCAACTGTGACTCCCCTCTCCCCRCAAAAAGCATCAGCAGCTCCATCCCCCAAAGGGATCTGCGCTCCCCTGGCTGTGATGCCTCCCTCTCCCAAAAAGGCTCCAGCAAATTCATCCTCCAAAGGGACCCCAGATGAGATTCCTCCTTCTCCCAAAGAGACCACAGTAACTCTGTCCCCCAAAGGGGCCCCCACTCCCCCAGCTGTGACTCCTCCCTCTCCCAAAAAGGCCCCAGCAAATATAGCCTCCAAAGGGACCCCAGATGAGATTCCTCCTTCTCCCAAAGAGACCACAGTAACTCTGTCCCCCAAAGGGGTCCCCACTCCCCCAGCTGTGACTCCTCCCTCTCCCAAAAAGACCCCAGCAACTGCAGCCCCCAAAGAGGTCCCTACTCCCCCAACTGTGACTCCACCCTCCCCCAAAAAATCAACAACTCCATCCCCCAAAGGGGCCCCAGCTGAGACTCCTCCCTCTCCCAAAATCGGCCCAGCAAATACAGTCCCCAAAGAGGTCCCCACTTCCTCAGCTGTGACTCCCCCAACAAAAATGGCACCAAGTCCCTCCAAAAAGTTACCAACAACCTCATCCCCCAAAGGGTCCCCAGCTGAGACTCTTCCCTCCCCAAAAAAGGCCCCAACAAGTATAGCCCCCAAAGAGGCTACAGTAACCCCATCCACCAAAGGGGTTCTGGCTCCCACAGTTGTGACTTCTTCCCCCAAAGAGGTTTCAGCAATCCCATTACTCAAAGGGCTCCCCACCACCCCAGCTATGACTCCTTCTCCGAAAAAGTCACCAATTCCATCCCCAAAAGGAGCCCCCACTCCTCTAGCTGACACTCCTCCCTCTCCCAAAAAGGCCCCAGCAACTGCAGCACCCAAAGAGGCCCCTACAACCCCATTCTCCAAGGGGGCCCCCTCTCCCAAAAAAGCCACAGCAACTGCAGCACCCAAAGAGGCCTTTATTACTCCTGTTGTGAATCCCTCTCCCAGAAAACCCCCAGCAAGTACAGCCCCCAAAGATGCCCAAACAACCTCATCCCTTAAAGGGATCCCCACTCCTCCAGTGGACACTCCTCCCTCTTCCAAAAAGGCCCCAGCAACTGCAGTCCCCAAAGAGGCCACAGCAATCTCCTCTCCCAAAAAGGGCCCAGCAACCACAGCCCCCAAAGGAACTCCCACTCCTCCAGACACTATTCCCCCTCCTAAAAAGGCCCCAGCCCCCAAAGGGGCCTCTATTCCCACACCTGTCACTTCTCCCTCTCCCAAAGAGGCCCTAGCTACCCCATCCTCCAAAGGCAGTCCCACTCTGCAAGCTGTGAATGTTTTCCCTAAAGAGTCCCCCATTCTCCCAGGCATTGTTCCTCCCTCCCCCAAAGGCTCCCCTGCTTCCCCAGTGTCAGTAATATGTACCATGGGGGCCCTTACTCCTGAGGCATCTGAAGGTGTCCCAGCAAAGAAAGGCCCCAAGGCTCTCAAAGAAAATGAACAAGTCACCACAGTTCCCACTCAGAAAGGCCCAGGAATTAAGAAGAATTCTGCAGCTTTGCCTAAGTGCTCAGATCCCTCAACTAAGAATGATACTAAAGGATCCCTTTCTACAGTGACACCAGCTCCTCTACTGACAATCCCTGTTTCTCCTGCAAAAAGCAAAGATCCTTTTCATTCCCCTGAGTCTAAGATATCTACCCCTCTAGCAGGAGTTGCCTCTGAGAAGGTCCTTCCTATAGCTGGATCAACGTCTGTGTCTCCAGCAACCACCCCACCAGTCTCCCTGCCTCTTGCTCCTTCCCCAGTTCCCCCTCTGCTTCCTAAACAACAGTTTCTGCCGACCTCACCTGGGCTGGTGCTGGAATCACCCTCTAAGCCCCCAGCCCCTGATGATGAGGATGAGCTGCCGCCTCTGATTCCCCCGGAACCAATATCTGGGGGAGTGCCTTTCCAGTCCGTCCTTGTCGACATGCCCACCCCCAAACCTGCTGGGATCCCTGCCCCAACCCCCTCTGCCAAGCAACCTGTTCTGAAGAACAACAAGGGTATTTGCCTTGGTTTGCTGTGTGCATGGTGTGTTGCCCACACCCCTCTTGGGAACTCCCATCGATACTAACACTAGGATGCGCCACTTTCTCCAGTCAATCTGCTTGAGTTTGGATGTAGTACTTAGAATAATCCTTTCAAGTGCAAAAGCTCTAGGAATACACAACTAATTCTTGGTTTTCATCACGTCAGATAATACAACTGATCTGACATTGGAAACCAAGACCTGCTGGACCGTTCGTTAATTTGCTCTAATCCTTATCACATCACTAACCTGTCCCTGGGCCTGGGATTTGCTAAAATATTGGGAAATTTGGAGCTCTTTTATTTCTTTTTATTTCTTAGTAATGACCACTTGCCCAGGGACTTGCTTTTCTTCAAAAAATAGATAACTATGTTTCCTAGCCTAAGAATGGTGCAGGTATATTGCTTTTTTCCCTTGGTAGTCTTTATCGATGCTGGGCCTTTCAATATGTGAATTATGTTCAGAAGAAATGGAGACATCACAGGGCAATATCTAGTAGAGAAGGTGGCTTGGCATCATTGAAAATCTTCTAGCAATATTGATTAGACCAAATTACTAGGGTGAATGATTTGAAAATAGGCCAAATGTGTGTACACAACTGCTTCTGGCCTCCTCCATAGGTTTAAAGGATAAAGGAAAAGTGCCTTGCCTTTTCTCCCTGCATAATGTGATTTATTTATTTTTTATTATTTTCCCCCCACTTAAGTGTGTGTGGAGATCCCTTTAGACAAAACCTTTCTGGGGTGGATGGTAGATGGAATATATAGGGTAAAATTTGGAGTTATTTTGGATGCTTGGTTATTTGTGTCAAGAAATGAAGACTTAAGGGAAAGAGAATAATTATACTATATAAATTGTATCTTTCAGTTATCCCTCATTTCTGGGGGTGGGTCTTTAATAGATGTGTACACACTAGTTTAACTAGTAAGTTGGCTCCCAAACTGGCTTTAAACATTTCACTTTGTAAGGCCTAGCATTAAAGTGGTGACCTCTAGTGCAAGCAGGCCTTAGTGAGGGTACAACCTCCTTAAAATTTTTACTATAAAAGTTGTTTGTCATCTTAGGTTCTGGAACAGAATCTGACAGTGATGAATCTGTACCAGAGCTTGAAGAACAAGATTCCACACAAGCAACCACCCAACAAGCACAGGTGAGTATTCCCTTCTTGACTGGTATAAACACTGGGATCAAGGAAGCACTGGAGAACCAGAATTGATMGGGGCTGACTATTATATCTGGAATTATGGGTCTTCATAAAGGGAAAATCACACAGAGGTTGTGGTATCCAGATCTTGGGTTCTATTTAATTTAGTTGTTTTRTCTTTATAGCTGGCAGCTGCAGCTGAAATCGATGAAGAACCAGTCAGTAAAGCAAAACAGAGTCGGAGTGAAAAGAAGGCACGGAAGGTAAGATGTTAAGTTATAAACAAGAATTAAAGTTCTGATGTGTAATTTTTTAGAACACCATCTTTTCTTTTTTTTTTTTTTTTTTTTTAAACTTGGGTTGGAACCCAGAGACACTGAACCACTGAGCCATATCCCCAGCTCTTTTTTGTATTAATAGAGACAGAGATGCTTAGAGCCTCAGCCTCCTGAGCCACTAGGATTACTGGTGCACACCATGGCGCCTTCCCCTTTTACATCTTTTTCTTAACCCATGAGTCTGCTTTGATGTGGTATTGTTGCATTTCTTGCTTTGTGAAGCTGATTCTAAAGTTGAAATTTTAATGTTCTTTTCTATTTTTCAGGCTATGTCCAAGCTAGGTCTTCGACAGGTTACGGGGGTTACTAGAGTCACTATCCGAAAATCTAAGAATATCCTCTTTGTCATCACAAAACCAGATGTCTATAAGAGTCCAGCTTCAGATACCTACATAGTTTTTGGGGAAGCCAAGGTGAGTTAAGTTTTCTTGTTGCACTCGATCAACACTGTTGATATTTCAGGTCAGATAATTCTTTGTTCTAGACATTGCCAGATGTCCCCTGGGAGGCATAATTAAGACCTAGACCTAAACTACTTTTCTTTCTACAGTCTTAGGGCAAGCAGTTTACAGTTATATTACTCTAACTTCCCTGAAATAGATTTAGAATGAGAGTATTGAAAAGGTGTCAAAAGGATATGTGATTTTTCATTTATGGCAAACTAATATTGACATCTCTGTTGTCTTTCTTTGTAGATTGAAGATTTATCTCAGCAAGCACAGTTAGCAGCTGCTGAGAAATTCAAAGTTCAGGGTGAAGCTGTCTCAAACATTCAAGAAAACACACAGACTCCAACTGTACAAGAAGAGAGTGAAGAGGAAGAGGTATGCCAGGAAATCTTTTTCTATTTGTAATCCTCTCTGAATAGTGGTATGTTTGCTGTTGGTAGATTATTGTTTTAGGCATTTAACCCCCATTATTTATACCTGTTTACACCTAGAACTAAATTCAAGGGACTCTGGCACCAAAGAAGTACTAAGTTGTTATCTGTAATTTATTAAAGTTTTTTTGTTTTCCCCTCTCCTCTCTTAGGTTGATGAAACAGGTGTGGAAGTTAAGGATATAGAATTGGTCATGTCACAAGCAAATGTGTCAAGAGCAAAGGCGGTCCGAGCCCTAAAGAACAACAGTAATGATATTGTAAATGCTATAATGGTAAGTGACCAAGTCTTTTTTCCTGGTTTCCCTCTGCCCTAACCAGTGAAAAGTAATTTTTCTCTGTTTAGTATCGGCTATATATAAAGCATTATTCCAAATCCTATTATTAATTGCCTTAGGTTTTAATAACCATCTTCTCCTACTTTGCCTGTAACCACCTTATGTTTTTTCTCTTATAGGAATTAACAATGTAACCATCTGAAAGCCAGGACCTTTTTCTGGTGTTTCAAAAGGATAACTGCAGCTTGGTTTGAAATTTGTACTGTTTCTATCATTAATAAAGTTATGGCTTCTTGTTGGATGAATCAATGAGTGTTTGGTCTCTTTTCYCCCATCTCCTCCGCCCAAAAAGTCTCTGGTAAATTATTAATTTTGTAATGTTATTGTATTTTTTATACCTTTATTTGTTTTTATGTGGTATCGAGGATCGAACCCAGTGTTCACACATGCTAAGCAAGTGCTCTACCACTGAACTACAACCACATCCCCATAATTTATTAATTTTAAGACCATCTTCAGGTGAAAAATTTTCATGCCGTAATTCCCTACTTAAAATCTCAAACTCTCTACCTCTTGTAAGAAGTTATGGTGGTACACATCTATAATTCCAACAACTTGGGAGGCTAAGGCGGGAGGGTCACGGGTTCAGCCTGGGCAATTTAATTTGGCAAGACCCTATTTCAAATAAGTTCTAGAAGGGCTAGCCCATGCATTGTGGTTGTATAAAACAGCTTCACGTCTAGTATAATAACAAAAAATTATGCCATTGGGACCTGCATCTTCAAAGAAGACAAATTAACTAAAAGTTTTTCACTTCTAATTTCTTCCTCAGTTAATCATTAGCAGATCCACCACCCCAAGTACCATACTGGGATAATACTGAGAGTTGAACCTAGAGATGCTCCATCCCAGTCCCTTTTTTTGAGAGTATCTGCCTAAATTGCTGAGGCAGGACTTGACCTGGAGATCCTTCTACTTCAGCCTCCCAAATATCAAGATTACAGGCATGTGCCACAACATCCAGCTGAAGGGGAGGATTTTGACTACAGAGCAAACRTTAAGCACACAAAGGTAGACTGTTGTGAGCAAACTGGAAGGTAAAAAGAATTAGCTTATAAATACATAAGTTTTTATAAGTAGACCTATATGGGAATCCCAAAAATAATAAAGTGAGTTGGACTGTCAGAATGATTCTAAGGAATTTAGAAATAGCTTGTTCAATTCATTCTTGTGCCATAAATGCTATTAGTGTTTATGGTATTATTCCCATCTGGAGGTACTAGTTGCCCAATTTTTCTACCATTCACTAATTTCTTCAATTCCTTTTTTTTGTTTGCTTTAGTATATTGAACATYTTTCTAAAATAAACTATGAGAAAGCCATTCTAATTCAATGGAAAAGATGCTGAAGGATTCAAGATTAACATCCATTATTAGCAATGTAAAACGGAGGGAAAGATCTGTGATTTGGGCTCATAGAATTCTGCCCCCATGGGAGACTGGAAGGGTCAAGCCGAAAGCCATCAATGGGAAAGATGAAGAAAGATGGGCTCTCAAAGCAGGGGTTTCTGGCTAGAAGCTGTTCCTTGCTCACTTGCTCCCAGCCCCCTCAGGCTGGTTCTGTAGGCTAAGATGGTGGAGATGGTGACTAGCTGAACCTAGGGGTAGTGCTGAAAAGCTTGAGTCATACTTGGCTCAGGCTTCTCCGGGGAAGATGGACAGAGGAGCTGGAGGTCCAGGTGGCAGGACACCCCTGGAGAGA